ACACGGATCCAAAAAAAAATTATAGATCTACTAAACATTTATATATATATATATATATAAAGATCCTGAAAAAAACATTTAGATATGTTAAAAAAGAAAATTAGATCTGAATCCATATATATAAAGATCTATATCTATAAAAAAAACATTTAGATATGTTAAAAAAAAATTAGATCTGAATCCATATATATATAAAGATCCTGATTTTTCAAAAAAAATCATAGATCAATTTGTTTAAGATCTATATCTATAAAAAAAACATTTAGATGTGCTTCAATCATTTTAGATCTACTTCAACCATCATAGATCTGCTTGTTTCAGATGCTTCTTCAATGGCTTCAGATGCTTCTTCATGGTGAGTGAGTGAGAGGGAGAGAGAGATGAGAGACGGTGAGCATGACAGAGATCAGAGACGGTGAGTGAGTGAGTGCGAGGGAGAGAGAGATGGGAGAGAAGAGCGAGGGAGAGTGGAGGAGAGGAAGACTCTTCCTGGAAAACAGATGTGAGGAATGGAGAGAGAGAGAGAGAGTAAATCAAATGAACAAAGATGAGAATAAAAAAGTATATATCAAATGAATAAAGATAGAGATGAGAATAAAAAAGTATATATATAATACATATATCATCCGGGGGACAAACGGGGCGGGGCTCGGGGCCGGGGCCAGGACTGAAATATGTATCCCCGTCCCCGGCCCGAAAATTATCGGGGATTTATTTTTTATCACCATCCCCAGCCCATCGGGGGTATTTTTCGGGGAATAACCGTTATATTCGGGATCGGGCGGTCGGGTCCCCATCGAGCCGGTTTCAGATTGTCATCCCTAACCTGGAAGTGTGCTCTTTCCATGTTTCAGGCTCAACTTCCACTAGGTGCTATCAACTCCTTAGAGCCACGCCTGCGGATTCTACCTGAGATTTATCCAATCCACGTGAAAGAGGCGCTTTGCATAGATTCCGAAATTAGTTGAAATACGCATAAGCTGACTCGGACACTCGGTTATAAAAAAAAAAAAAAAAAATAAATAATTTTTTTGAAAAAATTTCCGTGGTCTCTAAATGTTTTTTACAATACAATTTTCTCTTTTGAATGAAAAAATTTAGTTCCTAAAACATTTATACATTGTTGTGAATGGGATTTGAAACTATGTCTGGCTTCGTTTGGGATGTGAGTTGACTTTTTGACTTTTTGGTTATTTTAACCTAGAGCTAAAAAGCCTTATTTAGGATAGACTTTTTGATTTTTTTGACTTTTGTGAGAAAAAAAATGAAATGATTATAGCTTGAATGTAATATTTTGTCTTATTGGGCTAAAAAACCTATTTTATCTTTTTGTAATTATTTTAACCAAAAAGTCCAAAAACCTCGTATGCCAAAAAAAGACATAATAGTTTTAATGTGAGGAAATGTTGTAATGTGCAGTTGTACCTTGTAACAAAAGTTATAATTTTTATGGTGAAAGTTAAAAGTCTAATTTACATAAAATTAAGGCAAATTACACTTCTGATACTTGTAATTCTCTATTGTGTCAACGTGGTCATTGTAGTTTTAACGTATCAATTTTATTTTTGAATTTTTAAAATTGTCTCAATTTAATCCAATTCGAACTTTGGTTTTAGAAACTGGATTGAAATTAATGGTGAAAATAGTTCATTCACTATCTTCAAATTGATTGAAAGATTAATATCCAATTTAAAATTGTTTATTTTGTTTTAAATAGATCATTTTTTTCATATTTATGTTCAATTTCTTCGTAAGTTTTATTAATTGAACTTAACTTAGACAATATGAAAGATTAGTGAACAAATTTGATACAATTAAAATTACAGATATCAAATTAACACAAGAAACAAATTGTTATAAGTATAATTTGTTAAAAAATTTACACAGATGCTATGGTCCCTACAAACCTACCACTGAGGGCTCGTTTGGAAACTTGGCTAATTGAATTGGCTTTTGAGCTCGTTTGGAAACTTGGCTAATTGAATTGGCTTTTGATTTTTTGGTTCTTTTATGAGATGAAAAAATATTGCATTTGAGATGATTTATGGATTTTTTTTATTTTTTAATAGAGGGTTGCGAGAGAAAAAATAATTGATTAATGTGTAGAATATGACATTTTATTTTATTAACTATTTTAACAAAAAATAACTCTTCCCAAATAGGGTCTGAGAATGTAACAAAAATATGATATTACTCTATGGTTGTGGATGTCTAATTAAAAATAAATAAGAAAAATAGTCAACAAGAAAAAGATTAAACACCTCCCCAAAAAAAATAAAAAAATTTGAAAGTTGAATTTTTTTATTTTTTATTTTTTTTGATGGGTGTGAAAGTTGAATTTAATTGTAAAATTTGTGGAACTCTATTCATCGAAAACTGCTTGGAAGTGGTTCATTTGAAGTTGCAGTAGCTTGTTTGTTTCTGGCAATTTGAAGTTGCCGCTGTTTGTGGGGTACAATCAAATAGAAAATTTATTTGAAGTAGCAGTAGCTTGTTTGTTTCTGGCAATTTGAAGTTGCTGCTGTTTGTGGGGTACAATCAAATAGAAAATTTAATTGGCGACAATGCTAGGTAGCTCAAATTGTTGTGGCTCAAATGGCTCAAATCTGCCAAAACGACGTCGTTTTGACAGATTTTGAGTGTAAAACGACGTCGTTTTAACAGATTTGAGCCATTTGAGCCACAAAATTTTGAGGTACCAAACATTTTCCTTTAACTGGAGAGTACACAACATAATAGATTAAGTAAACACTTATGCACAAGAAAACAAGAAATACCGCGATGACTTGTTTATTCGGGGACATTCCAACAATCAAATCAGTTACTTATCTCACAAGATATCAATTCAAATTAAGAACTTACAAAATAAATCACATACCTTTTACCCGGTGGTGGGTTACTTTTATAATAATCAATGTCCAGTTTTCCTTATAAGTCTTACTTCACGGGACTCTATCCTTTACAAGGATATCAATTATCCAAGACTCCTACGCTTTGGATTAAGATCAATCATCTCAAGAGTCAAATCTTACACAAATAGAGATTCTGTCATCATCCAGAACTCTAGTCCCTCATCTGAATATTTCGAATTCAGATGTGATTTGACCACACATCGGCCAATTAGAATCACCCACATGACACATTGGCTAAGTATTTAGGCCACGTGGACAATTCAAAATTATGTCTCATAATTGCTTCCTAGGTTCTATTATCTCGGCATGGTACTTATATTGTCTGATTTTCAAACATGTTGGCTAAACGACATGTTAGAGATACTCCTCCGACCAAGATCATGACTTGTCAGTTTCATGAAGCAAGGACTCAAATGTCTACTCGTCAAAAACAAAGAACCAAGAATCAAGAATCAATCGTTCCCCTTATAGGATGTTGGCCATCTATTCTTATTAAGTTTCCACAGATGACGCCAAATTGTGGGTGTTCATCATCTGAACTGCCTAGTTCTTAATTCTCACAATAAAGGTTATTCATATAAAAGATTAATTTCATTGAACATCTATAAATACGTAAATAAATCACATTTTGTTTTATAAAATGAATGACAAATATGATTATAAACTTAAATTATTTATTTTATAAAATAAAATATGATTTGTTTATATATTTATAAATGTCCGATGGAATTCAATTTTTGCATAGACGACTTTATTTTGGGACGAGATAGACGATTTGAAATATCAATGTAGATTCAAATTGGATTTCACAAAATAGGTATGGATATGCATATAGAGGTGAAGGTATGGAGATGAGCTCATCTCGTGAAATAGTCTCCTATCAATTGAACAAATGCTAGAGACTCCATAAATTCTACCAAAAGTTTTACCAAATGCTTTACATGGATGTGAGACTCATATGAGTCCTATATTGTGTGGGTCACATATCCATGTGAGACAATTAATAAAAATTTTAATAGAATTTTTTAAATTTCTAACATTACTCCCAATTGAATGAGCTGCATTTATTGTGAATTTATTATACCGCTTGTAATTCAAGTCGTAAATTTCTATGAACTAATACATATCACTAACTGTACAATGTGTATGTAATTTTTATTTTAAATGATATATATGTATGGGAAATTACCTGGTTTGGAGTTTTTAAAAATAATTTTTGAGTTTTCAATCTGATTTTTTAATTTTATTTTTGGTGATTCTTTTAATTTTTAGATTTATTTAATTTAAATATACTTAAAAAGTATGAAATTTATGTAAAAAAATTTCAAAACTTTATTGAATATAAAAATTACAAAAATTTAGTACATTTTCCTACTTTGTTCTATTTAATGAATTTTTTAATGACGTTTTTATAAATTTTATAGGTGTATCTAGATTAAAAATGGATTTAAAAAATACTAAAAAATTGATTAAAATGCTAAAAATATACTACGTAATAAAAATTAAAAAAACTGTATTTGAAAATTTCAAAACAAACAGACATAAGGAAAAATAAAAATAAAAGATGCGTGATTGAAGGATTAAACACATACAACGCCTAGAGAGTCAAAATATTCAAAGTTTTTAACTCTTTTCGTCTTGTCTTTTCAATTCAAATACCAAAGTGTATAATTTTCTCAAAGTCCAATCTGAATCTGATCACTTGAATTCCCTTTTCCTGGAAAATCAATTTGAATTCCATTTTCCTGGAAAATCAATTTGAATTCCATTTTCCTGGAAAATCAATTTGCATTCCAGTCATTAATCAAAATCATCTCAGACTATAAATACCCGCTTAAACCCACATTCTCCAACTACAATAAACATCATATATATACAGATACCAAATTACAAATATTGTACAAAATATTAAAGAAATTTTATTTATTTATTTATTATATTAAGGCATTGTTTGGAAATCTTGGTTTTTAATTAAAAAGCCAAAAAATATTACAAATTATAACGTAATTCTCTTTACTTGTTTATACATTTTTTTTATAAAAAATTATTAAAAAAATCAATTTCCAAACACCCCTTCTCTAACGAGCCATGCAAAGTTCATCATCATCCAAGGCTGTGTACCGACAAATTCTCCGTTATCAGAATCATATCCGAACCGTTAAACCTAGCTGCTGTGATGTCTTCATCAACCATAGGCGGATCGATACGAACAAAAATGTTTCAGGGTTGATATACGATGAGTTGGTTAGGCTGAAGCTGAGGCCATTTTTGGACAGCAAGAGCATGAAGCCAGGGGACAAGTTGTTTGAGAAGATCAATGTGGCGATTCGTGATTGTAAGGTTGGGATCGCGGTGTTTTCGCCACATTATTGTCAATCATATTTTTGTTTGCATGAGTTGAGTATGATCATGGAGTGTAGGAAGAAGGTTATACCTATTTTTGTTGATGTAAAACCTTCCGAGCTTCGGGTTATCAACAATGGAAGCTGTCCTGCCAAGGAACTGGTTCGGTTTAAGGAGGCGGTTGAGGAGGCCAAGCACACTGTTGGATTAACATTTGATTCATCGAATGGGTAAGCACAACCTTCTCTTTGTAGCGATCATATTGCTCTTTTTTACTGTTACATGTATCTATATGATAAAATTATTTATATATGCAGGATTAATTGAATAGATTGTTATTTTTTAACATATGCTTTATATTTTATTTTAGTACCTGATATTTCAATTATATCATTTTAATAGCCATCTTATTTAATTCGTGTTTAAATGCCGCAGTTCCGTTTTTGTGTATTTTTGTCCAAATTAGGTAATTCTAAATGACAATTTGGACAAAAATAGGGAACCATTTAAACATAATTAATTGAATAATTTGGCGATTAAATTGAAATATCAGCATAAAAAATAACATTGAAATGATAGAATACATATTTTGGTGACTAACACTATATTTGACCTATATTTATTGGGTAAATTATCAATATCCTAATAGTTAGACTTAATTCTCATCAAGTCCTATTGAAAATAAGTCTTGGTAAAATTGTCGCTAAAAATAATTTTTTTGTGACAATTTTTTATATATGTTGTTAAAAATTGACAATTAGTGACTTTTTTTAGTCATGATTTTTATAAATTGTCGCTAAAACTTACAATTAGTGACTTTTTTTATAACAAATTTCTTTCATAAGACCTATTAGACAATAAGTCAACTTATTAGGACCTACATGTAAATATCCTATTTATTACTACAACATATAAGAGTTTTAGAGACCAAAGTTTTTAGTCTCTAAAAGTGAAAATTTTATTGCAAAAGACATTTAGGGAACAATTTCTATAGTCGTGAGGATAGTCGCTAAAAGGTCGTCCTGAAAAGTAGAAAATAAGACTTTTAACGATAACATTTTGAAAATGTCACTAATAAATACACTTTTAGAGACAAAATAATTTGATCTCAAAATGATTTATTTTTTTAGACAAAAAATTTGGACCCAAAAGGATAATAATTCATCATTAATGTCTAATTTTCATTGCTAAAAATATAATGACAACACTTTTCGCAATAAAAATATTTGGTCCTTAAAAAATAATTTGTCCCTAAACTTTAATCTCTAAAACCTTAATTTTTTATAATGTAAGTATGTTGTGAATTAAATTGACATAATTAAAATATCGAAAACTAAACGTACTTTGGAGATCAAGAATGTACTTTACCACATATTTTTGCTTTAACCGTTGAACACCTCTAATCGATTGTTGTTTGATTTATGTAGGGATTGGTCTGAGCTTGTAAGGAATGCTTCGCGTGCGGTGATGATGAACATGCTAGAGGTTGAAGGAGATCGAGTAGGGCAGAAGCAGATGTATGCTAAATATTGTCGAAGAATGATCCATGACAGTACTTAAAGCGAGAAGACTTCGTTAAGCTCAAAATAGGCATGAAATGCCTTCATTTGTTAATTAATTAATTAATTATTTGATTCATTCATATTGTTAGTATAATATGTTGTTAACATAATATATTAATGTATGTATACAGCTAGCTCAGATAGATAGGATGCTTTAGATAGGATTCTTTTTTCCTTTTCTTTTCTTGTTCTTGCTTTCGGTCGCCCGTCTTCTTTTAGCGTCCTTTTCATTATTGTATTACATTGTATCATAATGTTGTTTGTAACACAGCTCAACACAGCTCCTATATAATGGAGCCTCTATTTTGGTTTCTGATATATATCGAATCACAAAGCTTACTTACTCTTTGAATATCACTCTCTCAACATATTTTACATGGTATCAGAGCATAGGTGTTTTTCCTAATCTCCTCTTCCGCTGCATCACATTTTTGCTTGGCAGATTGCTGTGTATCTCGTCTACATCACCTTTTCTGTTTGGCAGATTGTTGCATATCTCGTCCTTATCTAAATTATAGATTGGACAACACCAGAACCTTCGTCTCTTCACGACGAATCCAACTCCACCAGATTCATCATCATCCGACGTTTCACGCGCCTCCACGCGCTGCCAGAACATTCAGCCACGCGCTTCCTCGTTCTCAGACGCGCTCTATGCGCCTCCTACACTTGTCCGGTGCTATTGTGCGCCATCATCTGTTAACGTGAGCCGCTTGTTTCTGACGTCAGCCGACGTCAGCCCTGACTGCTTTCGTGCGCCGCTTGTTCTCCTCTACTATCGTACGCCGTACACTTCTATGCTAACGTGCGCCGCGCCTGTGACATCATCTCTGCAGCAGTGACATCATCCTATTTGACCAAAATTGTTGACCAAAACAGTCCTGTTTGACTAGAATTGTTGACCAAAACAGTCAACTCACTTTGACACACCAATTTAGTGCCTTTCTGATCATATTTTTGGTCCGTTCACTCCTCTCCCACTGATTTCGACCCTCTGAATTCACTGGTAACCTCGTTTTTTTTAGATTCTACATCTAAAGTGTTGTTTTTACTTCATGGATCGCCTAGACTCTTCTCATCATCCTATTTCCGTTGTTCTTGACGGGACTAATTATGTCTTATGGACACAAGCCATGTCTAGCTTCCTCAAAGGAAAGAAACTTTGGCGCATCATCACTAGGGATATGTGCAAACCCATCCAAGAGACCCCGGAATCCGCTGCCATGGCCTCCGCTACCAAATATGTCGACTAACTAGAAGATTGGGATAGTAAAAACTATCAGATCATCACTTGGCTTCGCAATACCTCTATTACATCTATCAGCCTGTAGTTTGGTTAGTTCCAACTTGACTCTGTTTCCTTTCTAGCCATGGCCATCTGGGATTTTTTGCAAGAACGCTATCAGACTAGTGGCCTCGCTCACCAATATCAGCTTCTGAGTCATCTTCACTGTATGCGCCAAGATACAACTCAGACCATTAATGATTTCCTTTCCCAAATGTATTATGTTTGGGATCAGCTCACTCTTTCTGAACCTCCATGGGATTGTACTAAGGATGCTGCCTTGTTTACTATTTACCGTGACCAACAGCGCTTGGTTCAGTTTCGCATGGCTCTCACTCCCCGTTTTGAGCCAGTACGCGCATCTCTTCTTCATCGCACTCCTCTACCCACTCTTGAGCAAGCAATTTCTGAACTACTGTCAGAGGAAACTAGGTTTGGTACTCTCCATCCACTCCCTGTGGACTCTGTTCTTGCTACTCCCCAGATTCAGAGTTCTCCTTCACCATCTTCACCACAGAGGTCCACTACCTGCAACTACTATCAAAACCGCAGTCTTTCGTCGACTCATTTTCTGGTTAATTGTCCAGTTCGTCTTTGTCGGTTTTGTAACAAGACTGGCCCTGGTCATCTCCAGCAAGATTTCTTTCGCAATCCCGCTCGTGTCTCTCGCAATGGTCCTTCCATCGGGAATTTTTCCCGCAGCAACTCTCACCGTTCTGGGACTCCGTTTAAACCAATGCCTGCTCAATGCACTACTGCTGCTACCTCCGAGGATTTACCTTCCTTTGTCCCTATAGACCCTTCGACTCCAGTCTTCTCTCAAACAGATGTCGAAGCCATGTTTCAACATTTTTGGCAGAATTCCGGTACTCCTCCCTCTACTGCTTTGTCTGTCACCGCCGGTAACACTTCCTGGTACTTTGGCTCCGCTTGTTGTAATCACATGACCTTTGACCCTACTATTTTTACTCCTTTCTCTTCTACTCCCCATGTTCCTTCTATCCATACTGCTGATGGGTCTCTTCTGTCTGTAAGTCATGTTGGTTCTGTTTCCACCTCTCACTTATCTTTATCTCATGTATATCTTATGTCTGCCCTTACTTTAAATCTTATCTCCATTAGTCAACTATGTGAGCATGGTCTAACTGTTACCTTTTTCCATACTGGTTGTTTGGTGCAGGACCCTCAGACGGGGCAAACTCTTGGGATAGGCCGTAAGCATGGACGTTTCTACGAATTCATCCATCTTCATGTTCCAGATTCCTCTCAGATCACAGCTCCTACCACTGCTCCTCCTTTATCTCCTTTTCAGCTTTGGCACTGTCGTTTGGGCCATCTTTCTGTTGGTCGTTTAAAATCTTTAATTTCTAGTGGTCATTTAGGTCCTGTACGTTCTGATGCTTAAGATTGTGTGTCCTGTCAACTTGCCAAACAACCTGCTTTGTCGTTTAATAAAAATGACTCTGTTTCTCTTGCACCATTTGATCTCATCCATTCTGATATTTGGGAACCCTCTCCTACTCCTACTATGGGAGGAGCACACTATCTTTTTGTTTTTATAGATGATTTTTCCTGTTTTACATGGTTGTTTCTTATGAAAAATCGCTCTGAGCTCAAACAACTTTATTACAATTTTGCTGCAATGGTTAAAACACAATTTTCTAAAACTATTAAGCTTTTTCGCTCTGACAATGCCATGGAATATAAAGATTTTGACTTTCTTTCCTTCCTTCAGAGTTATGGTACTCAACCTCATCGTTCCTGTCCTGGTACGTCTCAACAAAATGGACATGCTGAACGGAAACATCGGCATATTCTCGACACTACTCGCGCTTTCCTTTTATCTTCCTCTTGTCCGGAACATTTTTGGGGAGAGACAGCTCTCACTGTTGCTTACACTATCAATTGTATCCCTACACCTGTCATTCATAATCACACTCCTTATAAGCGTTTGCATGGCACCCGTCCCCCTTACACCAACCTTAGGGTCTTTGGATATGCCTGTTTTATTCTTCTCCAACCTCATGAGCGTACCAAACTTGAACCACGTTCCCGCCTTTATTGCTTCTTGGGGTATGATATTGAACATAAGGGGTATCGTTGTTGGGATCCTCTCTTCCAGCGACTCCGTGTCTCTCGTCATGTGGTCTTTTGGGAACACAAAATGTTTTCCTCTCTCTCTCTCTTCCGTTTGTCCGTTCCGTCACCCTCTCTGTTTTTTACTGACCCTTCCACAGACCTGTTTTCTGATGAGCTTACTCCACCGCCCCTGCCAGCCTCTCTTGCGTTTTCTGATGAGCTTACTTCACCGCCCCTGCCAGCCTCTCTCGAGACTGCCTTGCCTACTAGTCTGTCCCATGTACCTGCTCGCTCTGATGGTCCTACTCTTGCTCTCTTGGGATCCTCCTCTCTTGGTGAGTCTCTTCCTCTGGCTCCTCCTCCCTCTACTCGACCACACCGGGTAACCCAACCATCTACTAATCTTCGTGACTTTATTGTTGGTTCTACTGCTTTTTCTACTTATGAACCAACCTCCTATCGTAAGGCTCGCTCTAATCCTCTTTGGCAGCATGCTATGACTGATGAATTGCAGGCTTTAGACAAAACACATACTTGGGACATTGTTGATCTTCCTTCTAGCAAGACTGCCATTGGCTGCAAATGGGTATACAAAATCAAGACTTGTTCTGATGGCTCTATTGAGCGCTACAAAGCCTGCCTTGTTGCCAAAGGCTTCAACCAAGAATATGGTATTGATTATGAGGAGACCTTTGCTCCTGTTGCTCGTCTCACCTCTGTTCGCAGCTTGATTGTTGTTGCTACCACCCGACAATGGGATCTTTATCAACTGAACGTCAAAAATGTTTTCTTTAATGGTGTTCTTCTCGAGGAGGTCTACATGCAACCTTCTCCTGGGTCTACTTATCCACCTCATAAAGTCTGCAAACTTCAGCGTGCTTTATATGGTCTCAAACAAGCTCCACGCGCTTGGTTTGCCAAGTTCAGCTATACTATTCATGAATGTGGTTTCACCTCCAACTCTTATGATACTGCTCTTTTTATCCGGAAAACAGCTCAAAGGACCACCCTGCTTCTGCTTTATGTGGATGACATGATTATCACCGGTGATTATATCGATGGTATTCTTCGCCTGAAACAGTTTCTTAGCCATCATTTCGAGATGAAAGACCTTGGTCCTCTCAGCTATTTCTTGGGTCTTAAAATCTTCCATGATTCCACGGGTTCTTTTCTCTCTTAAGCTAAGTATACCTCTAATCTTCTCACACGTGCTGGTCTTACGGATTGCAAGACTACCTCCGCTCCCCTGGAGCCTCAGAGTCGTCTTACACCTCTTGATGGCACTCTTCTCTCTGATGCTACCCTATATCGTCAGCTGGTTGACAGTCTTGTTGTCTATCTCACTGTTACTCGTCTTGATATTGCCTATGCCGTTCATATTGTCAGCCAGTTTATGTCAGCTCCTCGTACCCCTCATTATGTTGCATTAGTTCGTATCCTTCGGTATCTCAAAGGCATCTTGTTTCATGGTCTTCATTATTTTGCCCGCTCCTCCCTCCAGTTTCGTGCTTTTTCTGATGCCGATTGGGCTGGGGATCCTATGGACCGCCGCTCTACTACCAGGTTTTGTTTTTTCTTAGGTGATTCTCTTATTTCTTGGCACAGCAAGAAACAATCTCTTATTGCTCGTTCCAGTACCGAGGCCGAATACCGTGCTCTTGCTGATACTACTCAAGAGCTTCTCTGGCTTCGATGGCTTCATGCTGACATGGGTGTTTCCCCCTCTGGTGGTGCTGCCCTCTTTTGTGACAATCAAAGTGCTCTTCAAATTGCTCACAATGATGTTGTTCATGATCGCACCAAGAACATTGAGATTGACTGCCATTTTATTCGTCAACACGTTACTCGTGGTACTGTCCATCTTCATCCAATCTCTTCTACTGATCAACCTGCTGATATCTTCACCAAAGCTCATTCTCCTGGCCGCTTCGTTGACCTTGTCTCCAAACTCCAGTTGGTTGATGTTTATCTTCCTTGAGTTTGGAAGGGGCTGTTAATATAATATATTAATGTATGTATACAACTAGCTCAGATAGATAGGATGCTTTAGATAGGATTCCTTTTTCCTTTTCTTTTCTTGTTCCTGCTTTCGGCCTCCTTTTCATTATTATATTACATTGTATCATAATGCTGTTTGTAACACAGCTCAACACAGCTCCTATATAATGGAGCCTTTATTTTGGTTTCTGGTATATATCGAATCACAGAGCTTACTTACTCTTTGAATATCACTCTCTCAACATATTTTACACACACACATATATATATATATATTTAATTTCTTAATTAATTATGTGCTTCTTTGTATAGGGCAAGAATTAGGGTTACTTTCTAACTCATTTATACTTTATGAATGGACCTCTTTCAAGATTATAAAAGTTCATTTTGTTTTGCTTTCTTGTAAGTTGTAAAATGTGTTAGTGATTCAATAAAAACTCTGTGTGTGTGTGTGTGTGTGTGTGTGTGTGTGTGTGTGTA